ATTCAAATTCGATCTTTCCCGCTGCTTTTGCATTCCAATTCATGTCAATTGTATATGCGCAGGTTGCGGTGACATGTATCTGCATATTTGTGATATTACCGCTGACACTGGTAGGTACTATTCTAGGTCGTAATCTCGCTGGAACACCCGACGCCCCGTGCCGTGTAAATGCAGTGCCTCGACCAATACCCGAGAAGAAATGGTTCATGGAACCGCTAATAATCATAATGCTTGGTGGAATTCTACCCTTCGGTTCGATTTTTATTGAGATGTATGAAATTGTTTTATTGATATCTTAACGCCCATTTCCAATTTAGATTAATTTTAACTTTGACTTATTCTTCATCTTTTTTCTAATTCTTAGAATTAGAAAAAAGTGAAAAATAAGTTGAGCCGAGATTAAAATTAATCTACTTTAATGGAAATAGGCATTAGTTATTCATTTAATAGTTTGTCACATTTATCGACGTTTTTTTAGGTACTTCGTCTTTACTTCATTTTGGGCATATAAGATCTACTATGTCTACGGTTTTATGTTACTAGTATTCGTAATTCTTATGATAGTGACAGTATGCGTTACTATCGTATGTACATATTTTTTGCTGAATGCCGAAGACTATCGATGGTAAGTTTACATCGTGTATATTTTGTCTTTTTTTTTTCATATAATGCAAATGTCATCTGCAGGCAGTGGACGAGCTTTCTTGCAGCGGCTTCGACGGCCGGTTATGTATACATTTATTCCTTTTACTACTTCTTTTTCAAAACTAAGTGAGTAAACATACATCTTTTTACAGTAATATTTGCAATTCGATCGCAAATATTTGAAGTCTCATCTACATCCTTTTATGTTTTTACAGAATGTACGGTCTCTTTCAAACGGCATTTTATTTTGGCTATATGGCATTGTTCAGCTTGGCCCTGGGTATCATGTGCGGCACAGTCGGATATATCGGCACCAATGCATTCGTGCGAAAGATATATTCCACAGTCAAAATAGATTAAAATCATTGATTGAAATATTTGTATCATGGATCGTACAATGTAATTCCTAAAATTGCGCGCGTGCGACACTCATTGCTCTTAAGGAGATGAAGTATGTACTTTATTTGTCCAAAGCAGCTGTGTTACGTCACATCACGAGAGTGCAATGTTTTTCAGCTTTACTTATCATCAATTCAATTAATATCCGCTCCAAAAGTGGCACACGACGTGTGTCCTTTTGTGGATGTATGATTATTCTTCCAACGAACTCACGCCGTCGCGTGTTAAACATTCAAACGATGTCTTCATCTCGTATGCGTTCGTTTCTTTTTCTTTTCATTCATTTTACTATTCGATATAAGTAAAGATACGCTGTAAACGGATCCTACTGTACTGGTATGCGTGCGCGTGTTGCAAATGCAGTCATCTGTCGATAATAAAATAATTGTAAATGTTAGAGTCGAGCTAATCTTGTATGAGTCCGAGCTAAGAACAAAACTTCCGCAATCGTGCAATTGAATGTTGTTTTCATACATTTTTTATGATCCATGCCGCTAAAGAGAATTGTAATAATATATATATATTTATTTAATAATATAATATATATGCATATATATGTATATATATACAGTTCCATTTTAAATGATGACCTTAAATATATCTTGATCAATGCATTTTAGGAAAAACCATTTCAGACAAAAATTTTATGATTTTGAAGAGAAAGATAAGATATACCATTGGTTCGATATTGAATGGTATTTGGCAAAATCAAGATTAAGGCAAGATCCCTTTGAATTTTTAAAATGGAATCTTTCATTTTTCATTCCATATTCTCGTAGTCTTTTACGTTATAATAATGATAACATTTATTAAGCTCAAGATCATTGGAGGTATTTCCTCTTGATTTTTATGTAAAATGAAAATTCAATGAAAAAATATTTTATTATAGTGTTTTGAAAGCTCTTGAGATAAGCTGAGAATATGAAGTGAAAAATGAAAGATTACATTCTAAAAATTCAAAAACCTTGTTCTCTTGATCTTGATAACAATCAAGATCAAATCAATGATACCATCTTACATTCTTTCCGAAGTCACAAAATTTTGGTCTAAAATGTTTTTTCCTAAAACAATGTTCAAGAGATACTTTAGATCATCATTTAAAATCCTGTATATACATGTATGTGTATATAGATATAGAGTGTCCCGAATTAAAATAGTCAAACTTCGAAAGCGTGTAGAGGATCGATAAAGGTTTGGCCATTTAAGTTCGAAACACCCTGTATATAATTGCGGTTACGATCGTTCTTTATCGCATATGTATATATACATATGTCTTACTGTCTCACTTGTGAACAGCTCAGAAAATTAATTGAACCATCGTACAAAAATCAAGAAGTGATTGATCTTGATTTGTTTTCTATTTGTTCCATTTAACGTTCACAATGCTCAGGAATCATTTTATCCTCGTTATCATTAAATATTAAACAAGAATGAATTGATATATGTAAGCGTTTCGAATGTTAAGTGGAACACCCTTAGAGACTTCAGCTCGGATAATGAAACATAAAAAATTATGATGTAAAATAATTTGTTCTGATTAGAAACTCTGGTTATGGTCCATTTGATACTGCAAATGTGAATTTTGAAGCATTGGCCAATTAGTGAAATTATTTCTTCCGATTGATCAGGAATCATTGGACTTCGAATCATTTGTAGCGCCAAGTGGACTGCACTTTCTATAGTATAACAGTAATTTAGTTTCCACCAAAGTCTTCAATTCGAATTTATTTTGATGCAGTATGCTGTTTTCATTGGAAGTAGCGACTTTGCGAAGCGGGAATGAAATGAATGCAATCAAATGTAGTTCCATCGATTTATCATAAATTTTGGTTCTACACATTGGATGTGAATTAATGCTTCGGTGGAAATTAGACCAGTGATGTGCCTAGAGTCATGTGATTATGATAATCGCTGATTGTGGCTAGAGTGAATTCTGTTGTACGATAAAGATAGAGTGACACAACACCATTGACCATTGTGTCATTTTTATGAATTTATCATTAGACGTAAAATAAAGATAGAATACTATTTTCATTCCGGTCAATCAGTAATATCACGACTATGTGACTCCTAACTCATCTCTGTTATACTGTACGATCTCTATTTTTGACTCTTGAAAACATGAAGTAGAATGTTGCAATACTGAAAATTGTAATAAACTGCGGTAAATTAGACATGAAAACATTTAATTGCATTATAATTTATTAAATTCACAGTTTTGCAAGACTTTTCCATTGATGTAAATTATATATATCTGTTACTGTCTAACTAATATCGGCCAGTTCATAGGCCGATATTTATTTTCTACAATAAGTCGTTACTTAAGCTTTAAGTTTTAAGTCATAAGAAATTGACCAATCATAGTCAATTAGTCTTCTTATATTCAACTATGATTGGTCAATTTCTTATGACTTAAAACTTAAAGCTTAGATAATTATTTATTGTAGAGAAAGCTATTATAATTCTTATATTTAAAAAGATTTTAAGTACAGTCTTGAGATGTCATAAACTAATCATATATTTTTCGCAATAAATTGTTTACAGATTTTAATATGTTTATCAGCATTATTATGATCTTTCTAAGATGTCTATGAGCATCAAATTATTAAATTGCTAAGCAATTTAATTTGTGATAATACTACGCTAATTCTATCGATACAGCAGACCGAAAAATTAATTCGGTGAGTAGTTTAGTAAAATTTTATACGTAGTATATAAATTCACATAAAATTAACTTAAGTATCTAAGATATAGTTTCGATCGTTATCGACTCTTATTTCTTAGTAATTCTTAGTATTTCTTAGTCTCTTTGGTTGTGTACTTAAATATGAGAATCCATTATAAATATCAGCCATAGTATTCTTATTTCAAAATTAATGTCTCAAAATACTAATGCAGCTTTATGGACGATATTCATAATCAGATCTTATATTTAGAACCATCTTAAGTACAGTCTTAAGATGTCATGAACCAATCCAGAAAATCATATTAGCATATTAAGATATTACTTAAGACGGTCTTAAAATGAGAATCAACTATGAATATCGCCCTATACAGCTGCAATTAATTTGACATTTTAAGACTGTATTTGAGACAGTCTCAAATATAAAAATCTAATATGACTGCAACTTAGGTTGTTTTCTGATGGTCGAGCCAATTTATCGATTTCACGTTTCATTATCAACGGAAAGCTTTTAAGCTCGTTAAATTAAATAATTCGGAGTAAGAAACAGGAATCGTGACATACAATGTCGATGAAGATTTGCGGCACGACCGCATAGATCTTGATCTCATCCGCATTCTCTTTTTTTTTTTACATGTTGAATTAATATCTTTTTTATTCGCGAATGAGTCCATGTTCACGATTTTCTTCCGCGGGTAGACAATCGCCCGCATCATACAAATTGGTCGCCATCGAGAGAGAAACGAGAAGTTAATTTCTCTAACATAATTAATGAGGTATTCGAGTAAGAGATGTAACGATGAGAGTATTACGTTTCAATAATTTTACCAAGAAACTAATGTTGATGGGAGTCGAAAATAAAACGATTTGTTGTTAGCTGTAGTGATTCTGGAAAAAATATAAAATTTCTACGTATACAACAAGTATTAGCTTCTTTTCCTTTATTACCTTTTAATTAATAATCTTTCTTTTTTTTTCTTTCACATTTGCTGTTTTTTACATTATTTGTGTAATCACGCAAATAAAATATTGCGATTAATAACGTCATAGAACAATTGGAGTATTAAAGATATCAATCATGAAACTTTATCCTTAGGATGGAAAGGTAAAAACTTTAATCATTTAAGTAATGGAGAAATTTTTTACTTTTCACTTTTCATCCTAGGGAAAAAGTTTCATGATTGATACCCAATATTTGAAGTGCGAGGGACTCTCTCAGTTGACTACAGTAGTGACAGTGTGGCACAAGAGAGCGCCAACAGGTACACAGCGAGCTATCGCGCAACTTCACGACTTCACGTGTCATATGGCGACGGCGTACACGTTGGCGAACGTCGCAACGATTGTAGAACGTCATTGAGAGCCGCTGGACACGTCGAGATACATTTTCGTAGATAAGTACGCATACAAGTGTTGTGTTGTCGTGAGCTCTCAACTCGTCTCATATTTCTTCTACCTGCTTCTAACTCTTGTTGAGGGCATTAGACGTGCGAGAACGATGGCGCCGAAACAACGGATGCGCATCGCGAACGAGAAGGCGACGAAAAACATCACGCTACGTGGAAACGTCCCCAAGTCGTCGGTGAGTTCCCTTCGTTGAATCGCCCACTTGCGATTTCTCCGGACTTCTGAAACGCAGCCTCGCGGTTCTCGAGATTCGGTCGGTGAAGTCGTGCGGATTGCTCAAAATCCGGGTTTTCTGAGAGAAAATTTGTACCTAGGAAGCGCATTTGGACGACGTTTGAGAAAATGACATATGGACGAGGGTTGAAGATTGATGTACCGTGTATGAGATAAATCGCGACAATTCAATTCGCCCGTTCGCGAGGATATTCTATGTAACTGTCAATCCGAGGTTATAGATGTTTATTTCTGACAGATCACTGTCAAATTACGTTGGACGTTCGTTTTCTCGTTTGCAAATCATCGAAATCTTCTGTTCCATCGGTTATCTAACGTTTCACGACGAACGATTTACCTCATGGCGAAAGAATCTTGCATCTGTCAACAGACAGTATCTGCCATATGTGAACTAAGAATGTGAAATTCTTGATGAAACTCTTATGTTAAAATGTATGAAACATTAATATTGGTAACATCTTTGTCGCAATGTTTACTAAATGCTGAAAAATATTTGTTACATTTATCATTCAAGTCATATGTCCCATTTGTTTGCTCCACATATATGATTGACATACTTGATTCTTAAATTTTATGTATGTATTTCATTGTAATCTGACATCGATATCTGTATAATTAAGCAGAAACTTTTGTTATATTAGAAATCGCAAGAGGAGGGATCTCCAGTTGGACCTTGGCTCTTAGCTCTGTTTCTCTTTGTTGTTTGTGGATCTGGTAAGTACTTGTGATAATTTAGTTACAATAATTTGAAATAAAACTTTTCTATTTCCTCCCTTGTCTTTAGGTTTGTGGTTTTATTACACTAGACTTTCCTCCTCGCATTTGCCAAATATCAAACATATCTATTTCACTTTAAATACTATATACTACAAACTACTACACTATATATTACAAACTATATACTAGTTTTTGAATATAAAAAAAACAAACCTGTTGACATTAGGGAACAAATAAATTCTATTCTTAGTATTTTTTTTCTTCAGTTGTTTTATTATAACAAAAAATATGGATACTGGTATTTGTAGTTAATTCTTATATTTAAGGTTGTCTTGAGATGTCATAAACCTGGTCTTATTAGCATCTAAGACATTACTTAAGACGATCTTGAAATAAGAAGACTTAGAAGACTATGGTTGGTACTCATAATCAATTCTTACATTTAAGATTTATTAAGTATAGTCTCTCTTAAAATGATATTTCAGAATTATATTAGCATTTTAATGTTACTGATTGAAATAAGAACTGACTATAAATACTGATCAGTAATGGAATATTTTTATTATACACATGCATAGCTAAGGAAATGTGACAACGTTAGATACATGAAGAAGCTACAAGTGCTAAGGATGGAAAGTTGTCAATAACTTTACATGCAACTTATTCAAAATGTATATATAAATTTATAAACTTGTCCTTTTTCAAATTTTTTCATTTATACTTTAAGATTTATGTCTTTATAGTTCCATGTGAAATATATTTTAATTAAGAAACGACATTTGTTACAGCCGTGTTTCAAATCATCCAGAGTATCAGAATGGCTTGAAGATGAAGAAAGAGAAGATGCTACTGTTGATATTATTACGACAAACCATTTACAATTCGTTGATATTCGAAGGAGACTGACAAACCGTTTTAATGTAAATTATAAAGAAGATTACAGATTACGAGAGAACATGGCAAAATTTAGACAGTAGCTGAAAAATTATTTTCCTTTTGCAGAAGAAGCTCAAAGATTTATTTATAACATTTAGCATTTATACAAACGTTTAACTTAATTGCGCTACACATAGATGAAGGGAAAATGCTCGAATGTACAAAATAAATATTGTCCCAAAAAACAATATATCTATGAAACTTAATGAATCGAGAAAGAGAAAATTATTTATATTGAATTTCTTATTACGCTTCCAACATAACGTTTCCGTTAATGTGTGTTAACGAAAATGTCTATGTAATTTTTATTCACATGTATTCTTTCGTCTATGTGTATGTAGTAAATAATTGTATATATACACACACGAATGATTTTATCACGCAGATTTCTCTTCAAACAGATCTGCCCAATAGCATGTAAAGCTCAACTCCAATGATTGGACAGATCTGTTTTAAAGCATTCCACTGTAAACAGTTGGTAGCTTTCTGTTGTAATGGCCTTTGAACGATGCTTTTGTGTTATGAGGTCGTTATATACATATACAAATATATATTATACATCTCAAAAAATGATTTGTGTATATGAAATATTTGCTACTGACGGTGCACACATTGTCTCTTTTAATAAGGTATATTATTAATAAAGTTATATATTGTTTTACATGAAATATGTTTAAAGATTTCTATAAAACAGTCCTTTCACCTGATTAAGGGAGTATTCTAGTATAGAAGCCGAATTTTTGCGAATTTTTTAAAAATATAGCATAAAGTTTTTTTTGGGATAGAGGTATTTTCTACATATTTGAAAAATGTTTTTATTAAAAAATAACTATAAATATTCTAAATATTAAGTAAGGCCATGAAAAAAAGGTAAGTTCATGAATCCAGCTGTTTTATTCATCTGAAACAAAAACCAAGAAATTTTTAATTGGTATGGATTTGGCTATAGCAGGTACATACCAGATGAGAAAAATATTGCAAATTAAAAAAAATTTTATGATATAAAAATCAAAACTTAATATTCCATATGACGTGTCAGTACTGAAAATCACGTGCACATAACATAAACTACAGATTTTCTTGAGGTCTGTTTTCTGTTATTGAACTAGTGTATTATGTACACTTTTGGAACTTAAGTCGATGGCACATGATGCTTGTTTTCCTGCTGGATTAGAGTCTTGTCACTGTATTGGTTGCAATACTGACAGTGCTAGTCTCGCAGACAATACAGTGGAAAGAATCTAACTACTTAGAACATGCGTATGTATGTTCTAAGTCTAGTTAGCAATCCAGCAAGAAAACAAACATCGTGTGCCACCGGCTTTGAAGTGAGATAGATATATCATCATAACGGCTGCTATTATTTTGAATTGGTATGTCAGTGACGTATGCAACGTAACGTTATTGGTCGTTATAGCTGATTGTTCTAATCTTCAGATAAATAGATGATAATTTACCTATCCTAATAGGATAAATAAAAGAATGAAAGAATAGGAACATAAAGAGAATAAGAGAGTAAGTCAGTGAGCTGAAGTTTACCGAAAGTAGAACAACCTAGCCTGTAAGAATTGCGAACAATCTCTGCTCCCCAAGAAGGTTATCGTTGGTTCATTCGATCCTTCATCGTAGGTACTATAATCTTTCGTAGTAACTTGAAAATCCAAATAGGTATCTTAAGTCCTAAGAAGAAAATTTCGCAGATCTAGCTGCGAAATAGCTGCAAGTGAAAATCACGAGAGATTGCTGTAAATATTCATAGACGATATTGACACAATCAAAATGTCCAATATATTTAATTTATTGGGCGGACTTGCTGAATCTAATGAAGGTGAGCGAAATATGTTTGCACGATTATATTTTTTTTTACATCGCAAAATATGTGTATTGTACGTCTGGTATATATTTCTATTTTTGATATATAAATTTTAAATAAATTGGATAACAAATTTTCGGCTTATAAAAGATGATTACTATGTGAAGAGGATTATAGAGGATTATGCACTTTAAATCAAGAAATTATCTCGATTAGAATAAGAAATATGTTTTACTAATACATAAAAAAGAGAATTATTACTAAGTTAAAAAAGGAATACTGGAAAATGTATATAATGTGTTAACCTAGTTACAGGTCAAATAAAGCCCATTGCACGATCTAGAACATCTCACGAAATTAGATCTTTTAAGACAATGGGAGGCACAAAACCGAAGGGACTATCAATAAGATCTAATTCTGATATGAATATATCTAAAATACAATCATCCAAGAAAAGTATTTATGATAAAGAACAGGATTGTTCAAAATTGAAAGCAACACAAATAGATAGTCATGGACGTCCAATATCTCCAGGAAAGGAAGTATCAGCAAAGGTAGT